GACGGAGGGAAACGGATAGAAGCAGGGAGGAAACGAAACTGAGGAACGTAAAAAGAGAAATAATGAAATAAAAGACAAATAAAAAAGAAGGAATGATGGTGTGAATGGGATGGAAAAAGAAGGGAAAAGGGAGGAAAGAGAGAAAGAATCAGAAGGACAGGTGGAGATTAGAGGACAGAGAAGGAGGGTGGAGTGATATCAGGGTCATGTCCAGACTGAAAGTGAAGGTGGAGTCTTTGACCTCAGAGGTCATCTGCCAGACTGTGTTTGTGTGTCTCTACCAGTGAGGACCAGGACGAGCAGCAGGAGGCCGGCCAGCAGGCTCACGGTGGGAATCAGGATGTAGAGGAGAAGCCGAAGGTGGTTGGTGGAGCCCAGCTTGTGGGGACACGCCTCCCCGCCCATCCTCGCCTGGGGTCCTCGAGCCAGATTCTTTGTGGGACACAGAGAGACATTCAGAGGACTCATAAAACACCAGGATCCAGGTTATCGGAGCACAAAAGAGCAGGCTTCTGGCTCTATGCTGTCTGTTTAGACCCGCCCCCTTCTTCCACTGAAGGTTATTTTTACAGAGCAGAGGTGTGGGTGCTCGGGGTGTTTCTGCCCTCTCAGAGTTTCCGTTGGACACGCCGAAGCTATTTTTGAAGCGATGTGACAACGAGCCGACACCTGACACCACACAGCAGCCCCCCCACTTTAAATACTGCTCACTCCACCACCCTCTCTCTCTCTGTGGAGCTGCTCTGGATGATGTGCTGATTGGCTGATTCGTTACCACAACGTCTGCTTTGCATCTGAAAGAGTGTGTGAACGCTGCAGCGTGGATCATTTTCTTTTTATTGCACGACAATAATAACAAGAAGCTCACTATTTATTTATTTATGTACGTCTTACACCACAGACTTTTACTTTGAAGGGTCAAATTAAGTAAGGAGCAGATCAGACGATGTGAATCATATTTAATCTCTGCAACACATATTCAGAATTGAGCTATTTGTATATATTTTGTAATTTTATTTGTATTTTATTTATTTCAGTCGGTTACTGTTCGTCTGTCTCGGAGCAACTGAAATCACATGATCCTCAGGCATTAACCTCTTAAGCCCCTAACCTGATCTCCTGCCTTTTGCCCCCGTATCAGGGGGCGTTGGGGCTTAAGAGGTTAATAAAGTAAATTCTTAAAACTGTTTATATTTATTGGTTCTGACATATTTATATCATCAAAAACACCCAGTTTACTGTCACACAACATAAAGAAAACACAGTTTAAATGTCAGCTTTCTACAACATCATCATGTTCTTAATCCTAATAATGTTTTTATTTAAGAAAAAGAGTCAAACATAATAAAACTTTCTGATCAGATGTGAGTAAACTGTATGTATTTTGTATTTTAATTATTAGCTGTAGTTATTAAACTTGCTCTAATTCTTCCAGCTCTACAACTATCTGTTAATAACCAAGTTTGTAATCATTTAGTCTCCGAAACATCACAAATGTATTGATCAGGAGGCGACCGTGTTTAGCAGGTAAACGAGTGCACATCATCAGGTCTGAGAGCGTGTGTGTGAACTTTCAGCTGGATCATCTTGTAGAAACGGAGACGCGTCAGGAGCTTCAGCTAGAGCCACAATTAATATGACTTTTTAAATTTGACATCAAAATAAATCAAAGTCTTTATGAATAAACAGAGATCCACTAACCACCCAAACATGATCGAATCTAAGGCGCCATTGAGAAAAGAAATGACATTTATTAAGAAGAAATTAAATTTATCAGAGTTATTAAGAAAGAAATGAAAGTGTAGCTGCTGTTTTCTGGGTGCAGTTTAATAACCATCAGAGCTCACATTCGCTGGAAACTCCACACAGACGGACATCACTACATCACTACACGACATTAAAAGTCAGATATCGGAACAAATCGTGTTTCCTCCATGCTTCATGCTCCTGAGCACACCTGTGCCCTCAGGTAAATGTTACAGCAAAAGTGCACTGACTTTTGCACAAATGTGACAGTAACATAAAAAAGGTAAACAGAAAATAAATCTGTAATTATTTCTGTGACCGGTTATTTCAAACAGAGATGACTCAATGAGATTTGAAATAAAACAGAAATAAAAACATATTTGTGTCAGTTTTCTGTTGACGCTTCTCTGATTAAAGCCTTGAAATATCTTTGAAGTGTTGCAGAATAAGAAGAGTCTGCAGCAGCAGCAGCACGGAGAGGCGGAGAGGACAGAGGACGGACACCAAGGACAGCAGCAGAAGCGGGGACAGAGGTAGAGAGAGCTCCGCAGACAGCGGGGACACAGAGAGAGAGAGCGAGGGGGGCACTCACCGCCGCAGTTCCCGCTCCGCTGAAGGTGACACGCGGGCAGGTCTCCAGCCGCGCGGACAACATGACCTGCTGCTGCCCGCCGCCGAGCGCGAGACCATCCCTCTGTCTGCTGCCCGCGAGCTGCTCCGCTAACTAACCGG